AACTGGGTTGTTTTGTTTCTTCAGCTCTTTATACATTCTGGACATTAGTCCTTTAACATGCATAGTTGGCAAATATTTTCTCATTGTGTGGGTGGCTTATTCACACAGTTGAATGTTTCCTTTGCTATTCAGAAGCTTCATAGCTCAATGTAATTCCATTGGTCCATATTTGCCTTTTTTGGGGTTTTATCCAAGAAGTCTTTGCCTATGCCAATATTTTGCAGGTTTTCCTCTATTAACTTGATGGTATCAGATCTTAGGTTTAAATTCTTGATCCACTGTGAAGTTGATTTTTGCATATAAGTTATAGGGCAGAGGTCTTGTTCCTTACTTCTGCATGCAGAGATCCAATTTTCCAAGGACCATTTGTTGAGGAGACTGTCCTTGCTCCAGGGAGTGATTTTAGTCATTTGTCAAATATTAGTTTATCATAGACATGTGGATTAACTTATGGAGTTTTAATTCTGTTCCATTGGTTCACATTTTTTTCATTCCAGTACCAGGCTGTTGGGATTACAGCTGCCCTGTAGTATTCTTGAAATCTGATTCTATGAAGTCTCTAGGTTTGTTTCTACTGTTTAAGATTGCTTTAGATTTCAGGGTCTCCTATGCTTCAAAATGAACTTCAGGATTTTTTTTCTAGTTCTGAGAAGAATGCCATTGGTATTTGGATTGGGATCACACATAATTTGTAATGTACTTTGGGTAGTATGGATATCTTGAGATATTCTTCATATCTATGAAATTGGAAGGTTTTTCCATTTTAAATGTCTTCTATTTGTTAATGTTTTACAATTTTGATTATAGAAATCGTTCACATCTTTGGTTAAATTTATTCTAAGGTACTGAAAATCTTGTATCTATTATGAATGGGTCTGATTTTACAAGTTCTTTCTCAGCCATGGCATTATTTATGTGCACAAATGCCATTGATTTTTGCATGTTGATTTTGGAAGGCTGCCACAAAACACACCAAACACTGGAGTAAAGGAAATGTTTATTGGTGGGGGAAACCTGACAGACTGGAGGGAAGGGGCAAAGAAGGAAAAGGAGATGAGAGAGAGAGAATGAATGAATGAATGAATGAATGTGTTCAAGAACAGGTCCTGTTAAACCTTTGCCAGGGAATGGGTAGGAAGTAGGAGCAGTGAATTCAATTAGGTTGGGGGTAGAGCTGACATCTGTGGTTGGACCACAGGGCTTAGGACAGAAGCCTGCAGGCCTAAGATGGCAAGTGAGGCATAGATGGCACCACATAGACTGCACCATTTTACCAACAGATTTTCTACCCTGCACCTTGCCAAATTCTCTTATGAGTTCCAATATTCTCTTTGTTGAGTCTTTTAGTTCCCCTACATATAGGATCATGTTATCTGCAAACAGGGATAATTTGACTTTCTCCTTTTTAATTTGTATTTCTTTGATTTCTTTTTCTTGCCTAATGGCTCTTGGCTAAAACTTCCAGGACAATATCGTGTAGCAGTGGTGAAAATGGGCATCCTTGTTTGGTTCTGTATCTTAGTGGAAATGCTTCCAGCTTTTCCTCATTAATTATGATGCTGGCTCTGGGTTTTTCATATATTGCTTTGATTCGGCTGATGTATGTTCCTTCTCTACCCAATCTTCTTGAGGTTTTTATCATGAAAAGATGCTGTATTTTATCAAATGACTTTTCAATGCAGTCTTGTCTTTATTATGTTTATCTCTCAACTACAGTGTGTTTCTTCTCTGAGGCCATATCAATGTATTCACTTAGCTCTTTAACAAGCTCTCTTCTTACACACCCCAGATTAAACTAGTTCATGAAGTTCCTCCTATGTCTGCTTCCATAGTTACCTCCTTCAGAGAAAGGCAACACCATCTCCACAGTCTTGAAGACAGGAAACCTGTGCAATACTAAGATTCTCTTGAGCTTGAATATCTGCTTCAAAGCTAACCCTGACAACTCTTAAGACAGCTCTCTTCCCCACCCCACAGTCAAGTGACAATTGTGTCCTGCTCGTTTTATGCCATAACCATCTTCCAATTTCACTGTCATTTCTTCTTTTCCCAACACCACTCCCTTAAAGTCCAGAATTCCATCAATACCATCATTCAGCCTCATTCCAATTGGCTTAAAACTCTTTGCTAAAAACTCATATTTGGTAGTGTACTCACTGAAGCCACAATGATTTCTCAAAGTTACACCTGCAGGTGGCACACCACTGCTTGGGAGAACATCCAATTTTCCCACAGTAATGCAGTGTGTCTTGTTCAGATTTGCCTTAAGTATTCAGTATATATTTGCTAAATAATACGTTACAATGAAGAAATTAACCTACATGTCAAAGAAAAATATTTGTAAGATAAGAAATCCTCCAAATCAAAGATAGTGTTAAAATTTGGTAATCAACATAGCCAGGGATTGTAATTACAAATATATTAAAAACATCTTCCTACTTAAAAATTATTCTCCAGGACAGACCTTGTTAAACTATCCAGGTCAGTCTTCTGTTCTCACGGCAGTACATGAAAGAGCAGAAAAAATTATCTGATTTAATACATTACACTTAGACTTCCTGAATATCCATTAGGTGCCAGCTAACATGGACTAACCAGTGCAGGGCAGTGGTATAAAAACCCTTGGTAAATTTGACATATGGCAGAAAGTGGCAGATACCAGAAACGTAGTGCGTCCAATGTGGGTGTGTCCCCTGGAATGCATGTGTTGGAAACTTAATCCCCAAATCATGCGTTAATGGTGTTTGGAGGTAACCAGGGCCTCCATGATGGTGTTGTGGCTTTATAAAAGGAGAGACCGAGTTAGTGCACTTCCTCTTACTATGTGATACCCTTCACCATGTCATGACCCAACCAGAAGGCCCTGCCCAGATGGTGAGCAGATGCTAGTACCACAAACCCTGAGCGAAATAAACCTTTTAAAATTTTATTTGAAAGTGTGAAAGAGAGGGAAAGGCAGAGATTTTTCATCTGCTCGTTCACTCTGGAAATGTCCACAACAGCCAGATCTGCGTCAGGCAGAAGACAGGAAGTTGGGACTCCATCTGGGTCTCCCACATGGTTGATAGGGGCCCACGTATTTGGGTCGTCATTTGCTGATTTTCCAGGCACACTAGCAGGAAGCCGGGTTGGAAGTAAAGCAACTAAGTCTCAAACCAGAGCTCTGCCTTGGGTGCCGCATCACAAGCAGCAGTTTAACCCACTGTACTACAACATCAGCCCCAAACCTCTTTTCTTTGTAAATTATCTGGTATGGCATTGAGTTATACACGTCTTAGTCTGTATTATGTTTATCAGAAGTGAGGGTGCAAAAGACAAAAGTGGAATTCCACCCAGCCAAAAGACAAAGCATTTTTGAGGCAGGACACTTTTATGAATTTTGAAAAACAATCTATTTAGGCAGAAATTGGGGGAAAAGTCATTCTAACTGAAAAGAATAATATGAAAGTGGATTAGCCTCCTCCGCCTTGCGGCGCCAGCACACCGGGTTCTAGTCCCGTTCGGGGCACTGGATTCTGTCCCGGTTGCCCCTCTTCCAGGCCAGCTCTCTGCTGTGGGCAGGGAGTGCAGTGGAGGATGGCCCAAGTGCTTGGGCCCTGCACCCCATGGGAGACCAGGATAAGTACCTGGCTCCTGCCATTGGATCAGCGCGGTGTGCCGGCCGTGGCAGCCATTGGAGGGTGAACCAACGGCAAAGGAAGACCTTTCTCTCTGTCTCTCTCTCTGTCCACTCTGTCAAAAAATAAAAATTAAAAAAGTGGATTAGCCTGGCATGACTGTGGTTGGCAATACTGCTATGACTTGAGAGGTTATGGGAACATTACCTTGGGTGGTGGCAATCATAAGTGCAGGAGATGACAGGTCAACCTGGGTACACCAGGTATCCTTGGCTGGTGACAAGGGACAACAGAGGGTGACTGAGAGTCTCCTGGTCAGAAAGTGCTGGAAGAGAACTAAAGAAACCAGAAGGAGATTGTAGGGGTGGAGCGTCTGAATACAGGGAGCAAAGTGTTTAGTTTCTGACCTGCTGAGTGCAGACATTCGCAAGACATCCAAGCAAGTCTAGAAATGGGCTATGAAGTTTGAGAACCAGGACAGCTTCGGTAGACTTCATTCTATGAACACATAAACCAAAGTATTCCATTTTACAATTTTCTAACAACAGTCTGCCCTTATCTGGCACTTCATTTTCCATGGTTACAGCTACTTTTGGTCACACGCCAAACTGCAAAAGACGTAGTCATAGTGTGTGATAAGTGCTTGGGTTATGTGGAAAAGGCATTAAGTTAGAAGTTTTAATATTAGCTGGGGTATCAAGCATCCTCTGAGGATAAGGAGGGGCTACTGTACTTGTGTGAATCTTAACATTTCACTTACAACTAACATTCCTTATGGTGCTTCGATGTCCAATCAAATCAATCAATCAATCATTTTCCATGTGCAGCTTAGTAAATCTTGTGTCAATTCTGCTCCTGCCTGCCCACCCCCAGTTTCTGTCCCAAACTTAATGTTGAGAATTCCCATCAGGCTACAGAGAAAATCAGTCTCACTAGTGATGCCTTCTTTTTGGGCAAATTATTTCATTTTGAAATTCTATAGCAAAAGAACAATAAAGTATTGGTTCCACTTTTAAATAAATAAAGGGTTATCTTACTGCTGAAAGTTTTCATTCAAATGAGTGATCTGATCTCATATGTCTGTTTAAAAATGTCTGACTTAGGTCGTTACAAAATGACAGACTATGATAAACTAGATGATAGTTAGGAGCTAGACAATGAGGCATTGTTTACACAGAAGATTGAGTAACTGGTTTAACAAAAGAAGTTCTTGGGTATCTATTGTATGTACAACTAAGAGATTTACTGGAGCTTTTATAATTTTTGCAAGGCTCTTTTCCAGCCAGCTTCATTAAGTTGAAGTAAATCAAATCATGCAGGAACTGGCTCAGCCAGCAAGCAGCCCAGAAAGATACGAAATGAAGAAAAACAGACACAGGATGATAAGGTTTAGAATCTTTGGCATTTTTCATAAACATTTTGTTTGAAGATATTATACTACAACCCAGAGAAAAAATACATAATAAATTTACTGTTAAATTAAATTTCATTATTTCAAGGTTTCTTTACAATGCTTATATATATATATACACGCACACACAAAACTGCCCATACGAAGTATGTGACAACAAAATAGTCTTTAAAACTTAAATATCATTTGCACAGAAAGATATCTGCATACATTTTATATATGCACAAAATGAGTTTTATTTGGCGGGGTATGGAGTTTTGTAGTCGTGGGGTCTTAAGGAGTAGAATGCTATTGAGGGAAGATTTGGGATGGTATTTTCTGGGAGTCAGCTTCTGAAATACATTTTTATTGTATGTAGCTTATTTTGGTCCTCAGAGGAACAAAAGATAAATTTGCACAGCCAAAGTATTTTGACTTTCTGGTCAAAACAGCCAGACAAATGAAATGATGATGATAATTAGGTAAGCAGCTTCATTTGTTAGTCCCCTGCATCTTTCTAAATCCTCTCAGAATTCGTTCCTCTTTTGTCTCTTCCATGCCTGCCATGCTTCTGAAGCTGTATGTAGACATTTTATGGAGGAAATAACCGAGTTGGAAGACGTGTTTTAAGGCAACGTTATACTTCCCCAAACCCCTCCCTCTTTGAAGGAGGGATCCCTGGGGCACCCATCACTGGGCCCTGAAGCAGCCTAGCACACAGGGTCACAGAGAGTTGGCATGCATGTCCTTACTAACCATGGCTGCAAGCTGCCTAAAGCTTCAGGTTAATGCTGGTCATTATGAAAATGTCTTTTTACTGCACACATTATTTGGACAGGTGATGACTATCAAAGACTTAACTGAGAAAAGAAACTTAGGTGACCAATAATATCAAAAGAGTGTGGGCTCAAGAGTGGACATGTCTGGATCTTAATGAGAACTTGTTGGGAGCATAAAAATGAGTTCAGCGCCATGCTCGGATCTAAGGGGCCTTCCTGTTCTTCTCAGGTAGGGTGCTGAGACACATGCCAGCCTTGATTTCCCTTCCATTTCAGAATGGACATTAGTCTTTTCACAGTCCTAGGATCACCCTGCATTGCAAGTAGGACACCAGCTCGTGGAGATATGTGTGCATCTGTGTAGGTAAGGACAGAGAAGGCTACACACGCCATGCATTCCTGGACACCCCTGAAACAGCGGTCATATTAGTCCATTTAGCCACACATGGCACTGGGGTCCACAGGGGTGTGCGTCCTAGAGAGCACTTCGCTTCTTCCGAACTGGGCTGTGGTTACCACAGGGTTTCAATTCCGCGTACTGCACCTGTGAAAACAAACAGACGCGATGCTGGCAGTAAGGTAACCCCAGCTCACCACAGTGTGTGTTAATGGCTCCCCAAGGACGAACCCAGGCAAAGGAAGGAAGGTTCAAACGTAATGAATCATTCTCTAAACACAGGAACAGGGAGGGATTAACTGCAGGAAGGATTTGAGAAGTCATGCATCATTTCTGAAACCAAAATATTAAAAGCAGATTTTCCTAATAAGGTGCCCGGCTTTCTACCTGCTCTGGGCACTGCTAGAAGATCTTTTTGCATGTGCCAGTTTTCAACCATAAGTAAGCTTAATAACTGCTTCATGGGAATGTTTATCTTAGTATATGATACAGCAACTTATTGAGAGTTATTCATTTAAAAGTAACTAAGACATTGAAAAAACGTCAGGGCAAAGTAACTATGTAACTTTCCGAGAGGAGAAAAAAAAAATGCTGAAATTGATCCTGGATTCCAGACTTCTATAGATTTCTCCTAGAAATTAATTTCATTTGCAACATGACAGCTAAAACATCTGTGATAAACATGAACACTCAGGGAGTCCCCAGAGGCAAACTGTCCTTGCTCTATTAGAAGGCGCCTGTGGAGATGCATGGAGGATCTTCCTAGCATCCTGTACCTCTTCCTCCAGCTCTCTTGTGGCGTCTCTCTGTGTTCATGCCAGCTCCAGTCGGATGACTACTCTGAGTGCTGGGGCTGGGATGGTACACAGACAATCCTGGGGAGGCTGCATCCTATTTTTGGACACGGTGTGAACTCACATTGCGACCCAAGTGATGGTACATTGCAAAAGCACTGCTTTGGTGTGTGGGCTTGGGTAGGCGGAGGGGGACTGGTCATATTATTTAAAGTAGCTGTTGCAGACCACATGTGCTCACTTCTTTTAGCACGTGTGTGCAACTCGCCAAGGACGTGATGGCCAATCACATAAGTTAGGTTACACTTTGTCAAAAACAGGCAAGTGGAAAAAGTACACTTTGCTTCCCTAGGGACCACCATGAACCACTGGAAGGAGAGGATGGTATACTTGCCAATCTTCAGTGGGAAGCAAACAGGGGCAGTTACTATTTTTTAATTATGTGGTACAAATTCATCTTCCTAGAATGTTTTTCTGCAGTTCATTATATCATAAAATGAAGGATAAATAAATAATCTCTAGAACGTGGGGTGCTGGGGAGGGAAGCCTGAAGATCTTTGCTCTCCTGCAAGAGGAAAACTGATACAGATAATCAGGGATTGTGTCTTTGATCATCGTGATGATACTGCCTGCTATGGTCTCTCCTTCACCTATTTGGTGATCTCTATTGTTTATTAAAAACATCACTGCCTGCCCTCCGTCCTCCGGATTTGTGGGCAGGCAGGTCCACAGGGGCCTGGACCATGCTGGTGGGAAGGACTCTCTGCATTGTTGCCTTGTTAATCTCTGTGTATCCACAGAAACAGGACACTGCTGCACTAAGTGACCATTACCTGTGAATAATACTTCTGATTGCTCTCAAATGATTTCATGCCGTCTCTGCCACTTGGTGTACCACAGTGCACGGGGGCCCTGCCCTCAGCCTCCCTAAGTCTTCAGAAGCCAGGGGATAGAGGCAAAGGCCCAGGAGATAATCAGGGCAAACAACAACAAGAATAATCATCCTGTCGGCCCCTGCTGCCCCTAGGATGCTTGCCATTCGGAAGAGGAAGAAAATGAGCAACGCTCCCCGCTTGGGATCCCATGTGATTCCCCTCACTGAGCCAATCTCACCCTCTTCAGGGAGGCGAGCGATCAAAAAGGGGCCGAACACTGGTGCACGGCAGCCACACAGTGTGAGTTCCAGACCATTCTTAAGTAGCTCTTTTTCAGGATAATTTTCCCCAATCATCTCCTGCTTTGGACAAGGGGTTTCCGGCTGCCTCCCATCAAACCAGGCCTCTTTAAGGATTTTCTGATTCCTTATCTCAGTTATTCACACACACACACAGCCTCATGCTCCCGGGTCTCTGGGCTGGCCACTTCGGGGCAGGGGTCCCAGCTTGAGGTGACCATTCATTACTTACCTTTTGAACATCAGACGGTACCCTGGAGAGGAAGTCTAGTAGCTCATTATTGTCGATGGAATAGGGATTTCGAAGCTTCTTAGTAAACTTGTTTATGCCTGAAAAATACAAGAGCAGATATTTCTTTATTATCTCTCTCTTCATGTCTTTCTTTAAAAGCTTGCCTGGCTAGGAGACGGGGATATTCACAAGTAAAAATTAGTGTGAAAACAATTCCTAGACCTCAAGTCCTACGCAGGTTGCTGTCATGTGGAATCATTCACAAATGCCTTTTCCTGAAGGAAGGAGCGGGACTATGGAAAAGGGACTGTGCCTTCTTCAGCTGTGAAAATCCCATTACAACTACAGCAGCATGGTGGCAGAAACACACCCTAAAACTGGGGGGTGGGGTGGGCGTTGGCTTTTTTGGAATACGCTGATTAACAGCCGCCTCTGCTATGAAAACAAAGGCCCCAGAGGGGGAAAGGCCTTCATTAGCCCCAAACAAGCCCCTGCTTGGAGCCTCTGGACCAAACCGAGCTGCGGGAGGCAGAGGGTGGCAGTTTTTGTTGTTAGAGAGAAACTGCCGCCCGCCGTCTCTCTCCCCCCACCTCCAGCTCATTTTCACAGGTTTCTCTTCTCTTGCTGCAGAACAGAACTTGACATGTTGATTGCACTGTGAAGCTACAGGAAACTGTGAAAAGTTATTATTGGAAAATTATCTTACTATGGTTGTTAGCTTCATTTATGGACCACAATGCTGGTGTGTGGGTTTGTCTGGGCGACGGAGTCCGTGCTAATTTAGAACAGAGATGTCGACAATTAGGAGGGGCTTCAACCATTAAGATGTGGATAGACTGCAGAGCATCCGTCTCTGGGGCCTGCTCCTTGAGCTCTTGGGCAGGCCCGGAACACACTCTGTCCATAGTCTCCCCTTTAAAGGGGACTTCCTCTCATCCACCTTGTGCCTTCCACTCTGCTCCTCGAAGCTGCGTCGCCTGGATCCAGAGCTTTAAAGCTGGAGTCTTTTCACCAAATGTCAACCCTTTTTTCATGTTGAGGTTTAGAAGCAGAAAGACTAGGTGGCCTTCTGAAGTTTTGCCACGGGGTGCTTGTTTAACAAGGATCATATCTGAAGGCCTGTCAGTCCCAATGAGGCTGAATGGATTCTGAGCTTCCTTGTGCTCTGAATGGCTCCTACGCAGAAGCCAAGTTCAACAGTCTCCAACATACAAAAGGCTTGAGGTTTTTCTTCCTTCATTAAATGTTACTTTGCTTTCATCTAAAGACTGGACTTCCTGCATGGCATTGTACCTGACACAATGCCAACCTCTAGGCATTTCTTTGGAGGGTCAGATTTACATCTGCTTTGCAAATAGGAGCCGGCCATTGTTCATGAGTAAATGGGGCTTGGTGGTTGGGCTGGGGAAGGTTTAGCAAATGATCCCCTTTCCCTGGAGTCAAAGCTGCTCTCTGCCTTTCTTCCCTCCACCCCACAGCAAGCTTCATGTTTCTAGCTAAAATTTCCCCCAGCGTTCCTTTAAACTAAAATACTCTCACTGTGTTATTCTAAAGACATTTAATTGTAGCATGGGCTTTTTGGCAAAAGAAAACAGACGAGGCAAAATGATGAAGGGAGACAAAGACGTATTGAGAAAAGATATATCTTCTATTGTTAATTATATACAGTGTGCGCATCTGGAGCCTTTACAATGAACAGCAAGGCAGGGATAATATCAGCGCCGATCAAAACACTGCATGCATGGTCGCTGAGAAGATTATAAACCTGCACAGTAGCACAGATGCACCAACCAGGGCAGAAGTGGCCCACAATAAATGGAGACTGTCTGCATTTGAAAAACGTGGGATAAAAATTATAAGGCAATCAGATCCATGCTTCAGAAGCACACCTTAGTTCTTAACGTGCCTCTGGCTCAGACATTTCAGTAATCCCACCGCATTATCTATTGTGTGAGTCCAGGGGTCGAAAGGAGAACAGACTTAAGGGAGACTGGGGCAAGATAACAAGGGTCATGGGGCAGGAATACCCAGGCTCTAGGTCTGGATTCCTATGCATTACCTGTGTGATTTCAGGCAACTCCATCCTCCTGAACCTCACATTTTTAATATTAAATTTGAATAACAAAGACCTATCCTATATAGTTTCCTGCGTTGATGGCAGGATCATGCTATACAATGTAGGCAGAAGGCTCTGGTAACAAATTCCACAACAATGTAGAAGGGTACCATCGCTTCTATAGATGTGCACAAGCTAAGAAGACAAAGGAGAAAGGGTTTCATATGCGTAGACATTTGATCACACATACACATTTGGAAGTGTGGCTTCATCCCACAGCATGCTATACATCACTTCAGATTCTTTTAAAAAGAACCAATACAGAGAAGGTATACCTGCACCAGGGAGAGAGTCGGGGTGGGGGAATGAAAACCAAGCCGGGTCTAAACCCTAAGGCATAACAGTTGAGAAAGACTATCATTTAATTTTTCAGATCACGGATTGAATAGAGCAGTGGAGTGGCACAAGTCCTCCAGTAAAGTCGAGAGTTATGAAAAACTGCATGGTGGTTTGGTATGTGTACCCACTTCCAAAAAACCTCTAGAAATTCTACCATTCAGATGTGACTGGCCTATACGCTCCAACTGCAGAACCATGGTAGAGGTGAGTGGAGGACACCTGCTTGCTCCTTTACCCATCCCCAGGTGCCTTCCAGGTAAGAGCCCCTGCGCTATCCTATGTTTAAGGAAAGTGAAGTTCACTTTTGCTAAAGGGTTCAAATTTAACTGGGAAATTCACATATACCTGGAAAATGCCCATCAGGAAAGTGGAGGAACTACTATGGATGATGTTTCCTGAAGAAAATTTCAGGTATCTTTCTTCAAGCTGCTTTGTCACTTAAATTTCAAAAGTCACATTCCCACACAGAAGAGGTGTTGGGACTAACAAAAGTGGTCTCTGTAGAGCACAAATATTAAGCTTGCAAACCCACTCACTGATAGATACTCGGCCTTTAGGGAGAACTTAGAAATATTTCTATCTTTAGCTACATTAGTAATTACAGGGCTACATAGCAAAGAAAGTGTCTCTTCAAGATTCATGGGAGTGAAGCTTTAATTTCTTTGAAGATTTTTAAATATTTTAAATTTTATATAAGGTGAACAATTTACATGTATTTCATGTATACAGATTTAAGAACATAATGATTCTTCCTACCCCTACTGTCCCCTCCTGCCTATGTTCCCTCCATCCCTTCTCTTTTAATTTTTATGACACTTTCAGTTTATTTAGTGGAGGGTTAAGCTTGTAATTATAAAATAAAGAATTCAGAAAGTAGTAACTAGCAAAAATCATTGTTCCTCAAGGAATTTCAAAAAACTTTCACAATAACTTATCTTTAGTTTCCATGAACTTTTTGAAGTGTAAAATGAATTTGGTGAGGCTACAATATTTCCCATGTCAACTATGAAATGAGGCTATTTTCATGTGCTTATCTCAAGTGACACTGGTATTTGAAAAAAAAAATTGTACAAACATACTACTTCAGTATATAAGTACTTTCTCCCAAGGGATAAAACCCCTTCAGTTGCTTAATGATGTGCTACACACAGAAACATAGTCATCACTATGAAAGAAGGTGAAGGAAGAAAATCTCCCAGTAAAACTACAAAGGAAATCCAAAGTAAACATTAGGGGTATTTATGGATAAATGGCAGGGCCAGGTTGTTACTTATCAATAGTCACCTTGAATGTCAGTGGCCTCAACTCTCCTATTAAAACAGACAGACTGGCTAAATGGATTAAAAAACAAAACCCATCTGTTTGTTGGTGAGATGTGTTTCTTGTAGGCAACAAAGATACACAGACTGAAAGGGAAAGGATGGAAAAGGTATTCTATGCTGACAGAAACCAAAAAAGTGCTAGTGTAGCCATCCTAGTATCAGACAAAATAGACTTTAACAAGAGAGCTGTTAAGAGACAAAGAAGGGCTGGCGCCGCGGCTCAACAGGCTAATCCTCCGCCTTGCGGCACCAGCACACCGGGTTCTAGTCCCAGCCGGGGCGCCAGATTCTGTCCCGGTTGCCCCTCTTCCAGGCCAGCTCTCTGCAGTGTGCCTGGAAGGCAGTGAAGGATGACCCAAATGCTGGGGCCCTGCACCCCACGTGAGCCCAAGAGAGCACGTGGGTCCTGCCTTCGGATCAGCGAGGTGCGCCAGCTGCAGTGCACTGGCCGTGGCGGCCATTGGAGGGTGAACCAATGGCAAAGGAAGACCTTTCTCTCACTGTCCACTCTGCCTGTAAAAAAAAAAAAAAAAAAAAAAAAAAAGAGAGAGAGAGAGAGAAAGAAGGGCACTCTGCAATGATTAAGGGATCAATTCAAGGAAGATGTGACTATAATAAATATATATGCACCTAATTACAGGGCACCTGGCTATTTAAAAGAAATAGGACAGACTCCACTACAATAGTAATGGGGGACTTCAATACCCCACTTTCAACAATAGCTCAACCTGACAGAAAATCATCAAGGAACCAACAGTTAATCGACACTATAGACCAAGTGCCTAATGGATATCTACAGAACTTTTCACCCTACAGTTGCAAAATGCACATTCTTCTCAGTAATGCGTGGAACTTTCTCTAGGGTAGACCAATGCTAGGCCATAAAGTAAGCCTCAGCAGATTCAAAATCGAAATCATACCATGCACCATCTCTGTCCACAATGGAATGAAGCTGGAAAGCAACAACTCAAGAATCTCTAGAACATATGCAAACACGTGGAGACTGAACAACGTGCTTCTGAATGAACAGTGGGTCATAGAAGAAAGCAAGAGAAATCCAAAAACTGTTGAGAAAGTTTTTCTCCACACTACATGTTGAACTCTTAGTGCAGAGTTAATCTTTTGTGTATAAAGTTAATTGAAATACAGCTTAGTAAAAAGAATGAGAATAGGAGAAGGAAATGGAAGAAGGGTGGGTACAGTGGGAAGAATCACTATCACTATGTTTCTAAAGTTGTATTTATGAAATGTGTGAAGTTTGTGTACCTTGGATAGAAGGTTTCTGAGGAAAAAAATTTTAAAAAGCTATGTAGGAAAATATGAAAACTAAATTATTTGCAGATGATCTAATTTTCAACAAAGAAGAGCAAGTAAATTAGAATCACATTATAATGAATAAGAATTTATCATTCCTTCCAAAAAAATCTAAAGCCAAGTATTACAACTAATACTAATTTATCATTGTTGCTATGTACATAACACAAAATTAAGAGTTCATATTAATTTATAGTAACTTCCTAGAAAAGGTAATTATTTTCAAAATCTTATTCACTAAACTATAGCTAATACTTAATGAGCTGATACTATAATGTATCAAATATTAAACATCTTGGACATCATGACTACTGAAGTTATATGCAAGAATGTCTTCATTTTAAGAGAATTCATTAGAATATGATAAATTGTTATAGTCTGCAAATTATTTTCATGTGACTTAGCAAACAAAAAGTTGAATATAACTGCCTTTGGTATATGAAAATAAATGGGAGTAAACAAAATGTTAAATACTGATTAAAGCTTTAGGATCTTGCTCATGATTTTTAGGGCTCAATGAAAATGAATAACTCACAATAAGAAAGTCTCTGATCATTAAATGTCTAGTGTTCCTCCTGTTTGTTAAGACATAGAAATTTATCCTCTGTATGAGAATATCTTTGCAGATGGTAAAAAGAATGTGCTAGGCCCATACTACTAATGGTTGACTTGCCTTGGCAAAGGCTAAGTCCCCGTTGGTTGCAGAATATGTTCCAGAATGCCATGACAGGTGTCTATGAGATGAGAGGAAGCAAGGAATCACATGTTGACCATCAAGGCTTCTGATTGGGAAGCTCATCAGTAGACTATGAGCTGCTGTCTAGAACACGAAACTAAAGAACCAGTGCTTGGAACTCAGGATTTTATACAGAGCAGAAAGCTCAAAGGGAAAATGCAGCCCAGGAGAGCACAGCAAACTCCAGGCTATTTAATAACTGCATCCATAAACTGAGAAATAAAAAGAGCAATGTTTCATTAAGTAGGCGCTGTTGGGAATCTGCCAAGATCTCGGAGGGTAGGATTAGAAGTCAATGTTATTTGGATAGCTAAGATAAGGAGTGGGAATTCCCAAACTGAAGAGTAAATACATGATTAGCCTTCCTTGTGGATGGAAAAATGCATAGGAACAAATCAGTGGGCACTGGACTATGAAGACATCAAGGAGGAACAGTGTGTCACTGCTGGCCACGTCATGCATCGTGCATGGAGTTGAAAAGAACAGAGCACCCCAGTGACTGAATCTTGGATCACATTCTCGTTAGGGTCCAACAACAGTTCTATGTTCTGTGTGGAAACTAAAAATTAGAACAACTGAAAAAAGGTGTCCACACACATGGATTTCAGTACATGAAGCATTCAGAGATATTTCTTAAACTATAGTCCCCGAAGAGCCCCATTATAAGGGCTGATGCCTAGAAGGGTTGCAAACTGAAAAAAAAAAAAAATCTGCAAAGTACAGTGAAGGCTGGATTTGAGAAGACGTGCCCACAAGAGTGAGAAGTATTAAAGGAGACCCCTCAAGTGAGGTTTCACAGCTCTTTTTGCTTTTCTTGGACTTGCTCATATAGGACTTTCACCTCCTAAACGACAGAGAATTATTGGATTATACACTCTCAAAATCAGTCTACTTCTCTATTTATTTGAGAGGGAAAGGAAAAACAGGTCTTCCAGCCACTGGTCCCCTGCCCAAATGCCTACAGCAACTGGCCCTGGGCCAGGCCATGGCTGAGAGCTGAGAATTCAATGCAGGTCTCTCACGGGTGATAGGAACCCAAGTCCTTGAGCCATAACCTGCTTCCTCCAGGAGTGTGCATTAGCAGGATGCTAAGATAAACAACAGAGCCAGAACTCAGACCCAGGCACTGGGAAGTGTGGGTATGCCCACAGGCTTCTTAACCAGCAGGGCAAACCTAGTTTTATGAATTAATCTTTTTCCCACTTTTCAATGCCTAGGTTTGGCCTTCCTTTTCAGCCTCTACATGTAATGGTTCTGGAAGAGCTGTAGCTTTAATCTAGCATTTGCAGGTTCTCAGTTTGTTTGAAGACGACTGCATCTCAGCACAGTCTGTACTCTTGCCGACTGTCTCCGCCATCCTAACACGGGGTGATCCGTGGAAGCGGCGATGGCGGAACAGCCACTGCAGCAGGTCTGCCTGCTTCTCCCAGTTATGACTACAGAGCACTCTCCTTGCATCAGCCAGGAGCCCACCCAGTCACAGACACAAATATTCACAAAGCTGCTTGCATTTGGTCCAGTTGGTGGCTTGAGTATTAAATCAAGTCATAAAATTTATTTCAAGTTTGCGATTTTTTGTTTCTACTTTTTAAACGCAGCTGAATTTCATATAGACGCACCATTTCCCCCTGGTAAATAATTGCTTCCTTTCCTCTCAGGCACCAGTTAGGAAGTCACAGAATGTCTCCTCCTGCCTCCCCACTGCTTGTGGACTTAAATATGGGGTTAGGCTATTTTTTTCCTCCAGGAGAGATGAAGTGTCGGGAGCAACCTGGCAGTGGCCAAGTCTACTTCTACGTAATAGAAAGGGCGAGAGGCAGGTGCTTGCTCCCTGCTAGAACAACACGGTTTCTGCAAAGTTGCTGGGTTGCAGCAATATATTATTCAAGGGGATTTATGACTGGGAAAACCCAAAGGGCAACGGCACGCACAATCACAGTTTTATTTGATCGCAATTATGCAAGGGGCCTATAAATATCTGTGCTGTTCATTCATGAAACTGGCCTTTTCAGGGAGGTCCTGGAAGTTTTGCTCCCCAAATGTTTTCCTTAATCTCAGGCTTAATTGCCAACAAGAGCACACTTAAAGTTTATGGCCATACTTTAAAATGAGTAATTGGTTCTTACCTGAAATCGACTGCTAGCAAAAAGACCACGCTGAACTTACCCCAGATTAAAATGATGTACCGCAGCGGAATGAAGTACAAAGTGATGGTGGCTACTGCCAGCAGCAGGCAGGCCAGCAGCGAGAGGAACGGGACCGTCCAGTTAAACGTGCTGCGGAGAAACCACACACATGTCACTTCCTCCGGCGCCCGACCACCACCTGCAGTCATTCTCCTGTTCAGTGTTGCAGAAATGAAAACTTCTACTAGAAAAGGCACTTCGCTGCTTTAGAGATCAGAGGCCGTGAAACCAGCTGGGTTCTAAGGAAACTCTGTTGAGGAGACCAAACAAAACCAGCGACTCGCATGACTCGACTTGTCAGGAGGCTGCCCACGGCCCTCCTGGAACCAGAGTTTCTGAGAAGATTCCGAGTCTCCAAGCTGACTCTGGGCATGAGGATCCTCAAAACGGAAGGATCGTGAATCACTGCCAAGTTGGTATTTCTCCCTCAATAAATGCATCATTGCTAGAAAGTGTTTGGGCAAAGGAAGACATTGTTAAAGTGCTTTCGAGTTTGGGTGCTTATAACTTTTTTATAATTTTCAGGCCCATTTACTCCAGGAGCATAACGAAGCCTGGAACTGGATGAAGGAGCATTTGGCTATAAACCATCACTGCACCAATTATGGACAACACACACGATTTCACCACCTATTATTTTAATGGAGCCCCTGTCTCCTTTTGTTGTATCCATTGCTTGCTTAAACTTGTGATCTAGAACCAGGGACGTGGAACTGCATGTCCTGCGGCAATTCTTGTGCCCTCTTAGAAATGCAACCCCTGCTGAGGACTCACAGGTATCTAAAGTATTTCTTCTTACTGGTCTTCATTTTCAGACACATTTATCTGTTGTGCTAGGGGTGCAGAGAAGTGAATTAGATTTTTGTGTGAACAAGGCAAGAACAGGCTTGTGATGGGTTAAGTGTGTAACAGTTATTCAGCATTTAATATGTGCCTGACAAACTTTTTTCATAAAATCCATCTCTTTTGCCAAATCAACATTATCCCCATTTGACAGGTGAGCAAATTAAGGCTGAGAGCAACTGTCCAACTTATGTAATTAACTCCATCAACAGTGTAAGAGGACTTCACTTATCTTGTTACGACTATTATCAATACTTTAATCTCTGCCTGTTGAGAGGTTGAATGATATATATATGTATTTAATTTCTCATTTCCTTAATTAGTAAGTAAATTTGAACACTTTTTAGTATACTCACTAGTCATTTAGATTTTTCAATGATCTCTAGCTTATTTCCTTGCCTTGGACTGATATTTAAGAAAGTGCTTAAGAAAATTGGATTATAAGCAAACTGACTTGGATCCTGGTCCAGACTCTGTCTCTGAGTTACTCTCAGTAACTTCAGGAAATAGATCTAATCAATTATGATTTCCTCTCTACCAAATGAGAATGAAAACTATATCATAGATTTGGCTAGAATTACATAGGAATGTGCATTTAAGCAGGTCGGTTCCAACACACTGTAAAGTCTCAGAGAGAAGTTACTATCTGTCAATTTTCCCTCAGGCTGTCTGGCTTGACTTTTTCTTACTGGTTTACAGTACATCTCTGGATAGTGAAAGTCCTTTCTAATACTGTTACACCATTTTTTTCCAGTTTGTTTCTTTGCAAATTTTTTTTTAGTAAAAAAGCATACATTTTTGCATAAATAAACTTATCATTGGTTTTCTGTCTTGATTTCTAGATTTATCCAGGCTGAAAAAAAGACCTCTTCCAGTCCATCGCTGTGATACCAACTGTATAACGGCTAACTCCCTTCTTTCACACACTACCTTTATGCTATGCTGAATCTCTACATATGTGGAGACCCATACAATCACTGTCTTCCACAGAAGTAGTACAGATGGGGACAACTTTCACAGTATGTGCTGAAATGTTATAGGGACTCCACAACTGCTCCAGGTCCATACAGCCAGGAGATTAACCTGCAGCCGACCTGACCCAAGCACAAAGAGGCTGTGAATGAATGTCTGACTCAGGATCATTTCTAGTACTTAAGTATCTGAAAATATCTAGTAAAAGATGACATTGTATCTATATGCTGTAATTCCACACAGCCTTAGAATTCTGTGAGAGCACAAAATTAACATATATACAACCCCACTCCTATCCCCAGTATGCAGGCAAAAAGCTAGATATACCAGAAAGATAATCTTCAGAAATCAAAAACATATATATATATATGCTAGTTATTAAATGTGCATATGTATAAACACACACATTAAAAACATCTAAAAGATGTACTCCAGATGGTAACTCATGGCTAAGTACAATGGAATAAGGAGAGGGTGGGTAGTGGTACAGCGTATAATGGGAAGCTTTGTGTTTTGTGCGCTTGGTTTGATTTTTATAAAGTGTAACCAAACTCACTCCTAGCACAGGTCTCATGACTCCAGGCCCTCCCAGGTGGAAGAGGGATACTGTACCTCACCTGGTATGGAATCTCAGCCAGCCCACTGGCTCCCAAGAATGCCTCCTGTTACCCTACCATAAACAGCAGTGACATGAAATATGAGGATACTGCACTGTGATGTCCAACTAGAACTAAATCCAGAGTAATTACTGAACTAAACCTGAATGCATATCTTCAGAAATGGCATTTTACCACCAAAGCAGTTCTTAAAAACTGATGGAGAAAAGTGATTAACCAGATAGACAAATATCAATGCAGACACACAGAGGCATGTAGGAACAAGACAACATGATACCTCTGAACACAATAATTTAAAGGTTGTTACTAAAGAAAGAGTTATGAAATGCCTGACAGCTGAATTAAATCAGAATTCTAATAAAAAATTAGAGTTTTTGGAATCCTCAAGGGAGAAGACTAAAGGCATAGAAAACCTCCTCAATGAGACAACAGCTAAAAACATCCCTAAACCAGTGAACAATAAGGACATCCAAGTACAAAAGACCCTAAGGACCCCAAGTGGACTGGAAAACATCTTCATGGCTATACATTATATTCAAACTCAAAAGTACAACATAAGAGAATTCTAAAATCTTCAACAGAAAATTGTCAAGTCACCTCTAGCAGATCCCCAGAAGACTAATAGCAAGTTTTTCAACAGAAATCTTGTCAGGATGGAACAGAAAAAAAAATAGATTCCAATTTCTGAAAGAAAAGAACCTGCCAGCCAACAATACCTTACCCCCTAAAAAAAACTGTCCTGCATAAATGAATAAGCAAAGAATTTCCAAGACAAGGGAAAACAGAAGGGATTCATCACCAAGAGAGCAGCATTACAAAAGATGCTTAAGGGGTTCAATGCACGGAAGAAAAAGGAAGAGAACTACTATCATGAAGATATATGAAAGTATAAAACCCACCTAGAAAAGAAGAATGCATATTCAAAATAAGCAGAGGAGGTTTTTTTTTTTTTTTAAATGATGGGAGTGAGTCTTATCACAAATAATATTAACTGTAAATGGACTACATTTCCCAATTAAAAGATACTGGCTGAATGGACAAAAATCAACACTTTCCAATGATTTGCTGCTTCTAGGAAACCAACTTCCCTAATAGGAACACACACAGCCTGAAAATGACAGGCTAGGAAAATATATTCCATGCAAATTTAACTATTCCTACCTGCTTCTGGGCTCCATTAATATAGGACAAAATAGACTTTAAGAAAACAAAACTGTACAAAGAAACATTATAATGATCAAGAAATCAATTAAACAATATGACACATGATTGTAAAACTACATGGACCTAATGCTGTAGCACCTGGTTTTTAAAAGGAATACTTACTAGATCTAGAAGGAGATATAGACTCCTCTACGTTAATAATGGGGAACTTCAGCCGGCGCCGCGGCTCACTAGGCTAATCCTCCGCCTTGCGGCGCCAGCACACCGGGTTCTAGTCCTGGTCGGGGCGCCGGATTCTGTCCCGGTTGCCCCTCTTCCAGGCCAGCTCTCTGCTGTGGCCAGGGAGTGCAGTGGAGGATGGCCCAAGTGCTTGGGCCCTGCACCCCATGGGAGACCAGGAGAAGCACCTGGCTCCTGCCATCAGATCGGCGCGGTGCGCTGGTTGCAGCGCGCAGGCAGCGGCGGCCATTGGAGGGTGAACCAACGGCAAAGGAAGACCTTTCTCTCTGTCTCTCTCTCTCACTGTCCACTCTGCCTGTCAAAAAAAAAAAAAAAATAATGGGGAACTTCAACATTCAACTTTCATCAATGCACAGATCACTGACACAAGCAAAAGAATACTGGAGTTCAACCAAGGACAGAGAAAACTGACCTAAGAGACTTTTCAAGAACATTTCATACAAAAGTTGCAGAATCCATATTTTTTCATGAGAACCTGTATATACTCTCTAAAATAGACTGAATATTAGACCACAAAACAAGTCTCAAGTCTCCACAAATAAAAAATGTCATCTATATTCTGACATCAACATAATGAAACTAGGAACCCACTACAGAAAGAAACTTTAGGAATTACACAATTACATAGAGAATGAACAATGAACTCCTGAATAAACGATGGGTTGCCGAAGAAATCAAAACTTGAATTTAAAAATTCCTTAAAACAAAAAAGGAAACAGTAAAACTAATGAGGCTGGTGCTACGGCTCACTAGGCTAATCCTCCGCCTTGCGGCACCAGCACACCGGGTTCTAGTCCCGGTCGGGCTCCACATTCTGTCCCAGTTTCCCCTCTTCCAGGCCAGCTCTCTGCTGTGGCCAGGGAGTGCAGTGGAGGATGGCCCAAGTGCTTGGGCCCTGCACCCCATGGGAGACCAGGAGAAGTACCTGGCTCCTGCCATCGGATCAGCACGGTGCGCTGTGGCGGCCATTGGAGGGTGAACCAAGGGCAAAAGGAAGACCTTTCTCTCTCTCTCTCACTGTCCACTCTGCCTGTCAAAAAAAAAATAATAATAAGAAGAAACAATCAGTATTAAGAGGTGTGTATAGCAATAAGTGCCTACATCAGAAAAATACAAAGATATCAAATTGATGGATCATTTCAAATAACTGAAAGCAATAATACATCAAACTCAAAATTAGAAGGAGGAGATAAATAACAGATCATGGCATAAATAAATAAAATTGCCTAAGAAAAAAATAAATCAGTGAAATTAGGATTTGGCTATTTGAAAAGAAACAAAATTGACAAACTTTTAGCAAAACCAAGAAAAAATGAAAAGATGCAAATAAAGTCAGATGAACAATGCAGTATTATAATAGACATTTATGAACAAATGTACATAAATAAATTGGAAAACCTAAGAGATTGGATTAACTACTACACACAACCTATAAAAACTGAAACAAGACAGAGGAAACAGGCCAATAAATAATTAATACTATGTGATCAGTAATAAAAAGTCTGTCAACAAGCCTAGGACTGGATGACTTCATGGCTCAGTTCTATTTAATTTTCAAGAAGAACTAACATCACTTCAACTCAAACTATTTTTTTTTTTGACAGAGTGGACAGAGAGAGAGAAAGGTCTTCCTTTTACCATTGGTTCACCCCCTAGTGGCCGCTATGGCTGGCGCACCGTGCTGATCCAAAGCCAGGAGCCAGGTGCTTCTCCTGGTCTCCCATGGGATGCAGGGCCCAAGCACTTGGGCCATCCTCCACTGCACTCCCGGGCCACAGCAGAGAGCTGGCCTGGAAGAGGAGCAACCAGGACAGAATCCGGTGCCCCAACCGGGACTAGAACCTGGTGTGCCGGCACCGCAGGTGGAGGATTAGCCTATTGAGCTGTGGCGCTGGCCAACTCAAACTATTCTTAAACTTTCTCAGGCATGGAAAGCCAAGACTCTTTTTTTTTTTTCTTTTAAACAGATCCTACATAATGGATCCCTGAGGGTGAGACCCCAGTGGAAAGAAATGGCCACCAAAAAAATTATGTATAAGATACATACAAATTAATTAAAAAAAAAAAAAAAAAACAGAAAAAAGGAGGATGGGGAGGAAAACTACCAAACTCATTGTATGGGCCAGCACTGCCCTGACACAAAGGCTTTAAAACAAAGTAAAACATAAGCCATAGGTCAGTCTCCCCAATGAACACGATGTCAATGAATGGTGCTAGAACGAATGGATACATCCCAAAAACTAATGCTTTCATCCCATACATCTTAGCATTTACTAAAATCAACACAAGATAGGTAAAAAAATCTAAAGTTTAGGACCAGAAGCTATGAAACTACTAGAAGAAAACATAAAGGAAACATTACAATGCATTGGCATAGAATCCCATTTTGGGGTGGCAAGACTCCAAAATCACAGGACACAAAAAAGCAAAATAGACAAATGCAATAATATCACATAAGAAACATCTGTTCATCAAAGGAAACAAAACAATGAAGAGACAACCAACATCATGGAAGATAATATTTACAAGATATTTATCTGACAAAGGATTAACATACAAGAAACTCAGAAAATTCAACAGTTTAATAGCCAATCCAGCTAAGAAATGGGAAAGCTAAGACATTTCTCAGAAAAAAAATACAAATGGTCAACATCACTAGCTACCAGGGAAAGGCACATCAAAGCCATAACTAGGTCTCCTCTCATTCCAGTGAGAAAAGATGAGAGAGAGAAATGGAAAGAGAAACAGACTGACAGATGCTAACTTCTGGCAAGTGTGTGGATAAGTGGGAATCCTCATTCACTGTTGGTGGGGATATCAATTAATACAGTCATTATGAACAATATAGAGACCCCTCAAAAAACAACAAAAAGAAATCAGATAACCTAGCTATCTCACTTCTGGGTATATGTCCAAAGGAAATGATATCAACATATGAAAGAGATGCCCGCACTTCTGTATTTATTGCAGAATTCACAATAGTAAAGGTACAGACTCAACTGGGTTGTTCACTGATGGTTGAATAGAAAAATAAATGTAACCGATGTATGCAATGGAACGTTATTCCGTCACAAAAAAGGAGCAGCTCCTGGTATTTACAGCAAAATGGCTGGAAATGAAGGCCACTGTTGAGTGAAATAAGTCAGACGTGTACCACATATTCTCTTTTATATGTGATTTTTTAAAATAAATTGATCTGAAATTTTGGAGGATGGGGTACAAGAGAATATTAATAAGGTATATCAAAACATGGGTGGATAGAAGTATTTAATTCTAGTGTTCTTCAGCACAGCTGGGCTGCTGTAGACACAATGATCTATTAGATCCTATTTCAAGAACTGGAGGCTCCACACATGGAGGAAACATGGGTGAGGATGACTGCCAAATTTGATCAGTTTGTAAAGTTTGCATCTATTGACATAGCACACTGTTCTCCACCAAGGGGTACAAGCATTACATACTACTCAACAAGTTCAAAAAATAAGACAAAAATAGAGACAAAATTGTTTGAAGTCTCATCATAGGCCCAGAAAGACTGAATTTAGGAAGGAAAGAGATTAATGAAAAGTGAACCTCTCTACCTGGGCCCCCACCCAAGGAAGTGGAAGGCAGCTGATGCAACCATTGTGAGACACAGCCCATAAGACCCCTAAGATGTACTGACAAGTCAGTGGTGTATTTGGTGTCCAGCTGTGGCCTTAATGAATAAAATCCTGAAGGCTGACAACAGTAAACATGCATGCACACACATATATCTGATATAAAATTATCAGATATAAAAAATTAAAGTGTAAACACACTGAATCCCAGATACTGGCCATAAATCCACAGCTCAGCACTATACAACCCAGCCTCTCTTCACAATAGATTGCTTGTAATTTAGATATCCAACTGTTATTAACCGTGTGCTATACTTCAGTTTTCCTATCTGTAAAATGATTTACTTCATATAATGTGAAGGGATTCAATAAACTAATCAATATAAAACATTTAAAAAATATAAGGCAACCTTTCTGTTTAACTGCATGTCAAAAAAATACAAGCGATAATTATTTAATAAGTGTTAGCTACTCTCGTTTTTCTTATACTTATTGAACAAATATGACATAAATAGGAAATGTTATGCCAGCATCTTGATGATAAAAAAGCTATAGAAATATATTGAATTACTGTTTTAAAAGAAATTGCAACAGCAAGAGAGATCTTCCATCCAGTGGTTCATTCCCCAAATGCCAGCAATAGTTAGGATGAGGTCAAGCTGAAGCTAAGAGGAAGAACACTGTACAGGTCTCCCACGTGGGTGGCAGGTGCTCAAATACTTGGATTATCACATACTGCATCCCAAGTGTATTATTAGGAAGCTGGATGGAAAGTAAGGAGCCAGGACATTCTGATATGGGATATTGCAAGTCACATCTTAACCTACTCCACAATGCCTGCCTCAACGTTTGATTTAAAAAACAAGTGTCCCAGGTTCGTAGGAGCCATAAGAGATGCACAAGAAGTAATCCTTGGGACCGGCGCCATGGCACAGTAGGTTAATCCTCCACCCGCAGTGCCGGCATCCCATGTGGGTGCCAGTTTTAGTCCCAGTCCCTGCTCTTCCAATCCAGCTCTCTGCTGTGGCCCAGGAGGGCAGTAGAGGATGGCCCAAGTGCTTGGGCCCCTGCACCCACATGGGAGACCAGGAAGAAGCTCCTGGCTCCTGGCTTCAGATTGGCATAGCTCCAGTGGTTGCTGCCATTTGGGAAGTGAACCAGCGGAAGGAAGACCTTTCTGTCTCTCCCTCTCACTGTCTGTAACTCTACCTCTCAAATAAAATCTTTAAAAAAAAAAAAGGTAATTCTTTCTAGGGAAATAAACTCTCATCCCAGATGCTGAGTGCTTCCTATGAAATCCAAGGAACCTGAATCCACTGTGAAAAGTAAGAACACACAGGACACATGAGACCAAGAGTGGGAGTTGCAGGAGTAACAGGCAGCAAAACCCCAAATCAAAACAGACTGCACGGAGGCATTACATAGCACATTAAAAACATTACTTAACATTAAAATTCTGAAATGGAATTTTAGAGAATGGAAAAATTAAAATGTGACCAATGAAGAGTCAATGAAAAATGATCAAGATTTAAAAAACAAACCAGCAGGTGCCACGTCTCAATAGGCTAATCCTCTGCCTGCGGCGCCAGCACCCCGGGTTCTAGTCCTGGTCAGGGCTCCGGATTCTGTCCCGGTTGCTCCTCTTCCTGTCCAGCTCTCTGCTGTGGCCCGGGAGGGCAGTGGAGGATGGCCCAGGTCCTTGGGCCCTGCACGCCATGGGAGACCAGGAGAAGCACCTGGCTCCTGGCTTTGGATCAGCGTGGTGCACTGGCTGCAGTGGCCATTGGGGGATGAACCAATGGAAAAGGAAGACCTTTCTCTCTGTCTCTCACTGTCCACTCTGCCTGTCAAAAACAAACCAACCAAGTAGAACTTTGAAAAATGAAAACTAGGAGTATTAAAGTTAGAAATAATTCGATAGATGAATTAACAGGGTTTTAAGTGGCAAAAGAACCTGTGTTTGAACAAGTTCTGCAGAAAATTCTCAGAAGGTATCACATTATAGAGAACCAACATCTAGATGACAGAACCAGAGATATGGAATACAGATTAACAAGTTTCCTGCATTGACTAGGAAGACAACACAAGCAACAATATTAGAGTGTTGCAAATTATGCTGTTAACAGAGGAAAAATATATAGGGGAAAGAAAAAGAAACCAAAGAAGAACAAAGAGTGTCCTTGAGATGGAGAGACATAACTCTAATTATATTAGTAACTACCATAAATTCACATAGGCTCTATGCTACGATTAAAATTGTGATTTTTTTCAGATTCAGGAGAGATATGAAATAAGAGTTTGACAGAAAAATATAGAAAGGGATGTATTGGGGAAAAACAAAAATGGTAGCACTACATT